AAAGTTAATATCCTTAAATAGAAAAAAGTGCAAAATTGACATTCTTATTTGTATCTTTACTCCATTATGTCAAGTTGTTATAGGTGAGAGTCTAAAAATTAGTTTTATTCGTAGGCCATTACTTGCAATTTGCAAAAATTTAATTATCTTTTTCATTTTTTTCCTCTCCCTGTCTTTTAGCTCAGCAAGATCAAAGGAGTCTCCCATGAAATCCTAGAGCAATTGCCAAGAAGTATAGGGAGAAATTCACGAGAGGTTTGTTGGGGATACAACTGAAAGCCATTAATAAGACATGCACATACATAGTGGCAGACATAAGATATAGCAACAAGGCAGCTAGGAAGTGGTAAGGTCAAGCAGCCTCCCAACGAAGCAAGTAGAAAGAAAGAAACAAAATAAAAAAGGGGAAAATTTTTTTGAAAAGTACTGCGACCCCACACCCAACTGCGAAGCGTACGTTATTAAATTTTTTGGATCTAAAGTCGTGTTCAAACTCAAACTGCTGCACTCTCTAAGCAATTTCCCCAATCAACTCCCTAACAAAGAATTGGCATCTCTCCATTTTCCAGTCTCCTTCCATCCTATATAAACCCCACATTATGTGATCCTATAACGCCGACTACGGATTCCCAACCCTTCTTCCTCCAAAATCCAATTTTGCCAAAAAACCAATTTAAGTTTATTTGGTCTAATTCCAATGGATAAGCTCCCAAAATGTCAAGCAAATTATGTGCCCCTTACTCCCCTAACCTTCTTGAAAAGGGCTGCCGCTGTTTACGCTGACCGCCCTTCTCTTATATACGAGGCCACTCGTTTCACCTGGCAACATACTTATCTCCGCTGCTGCCGCCTCGCATCCGCCCTCCTATCTCTCAACATCCTCAAGAATGACGTTGTAAGTTTTCTTTCTTTGAGCTTATTATACAAAGACAGAATAAGAATGAGATGATTACTTACTCTTTCATCATATATGTATATCTGCAGGTGTCGGTGCTGGCTCCTAATATTCCAGCCATGTACGAGATGCACTTTGCAGTGCCGATGGCTGGAGCTGTACTGAATACCATTAACACCCGGCTCGATTCTAAAACTATAGCCACCATTCTCCGCCACTCTGAGGCCAAGGTCTTCTTTGTAGACTACGAATTTGTACCACTGGCACGCGAGGCCCTCCGGTCACTCATAGCTGACTCATCGGAATCCTCAATTCCGTTGGTCATTGTCATTGATGACATAGACAGACCCACCGGAGTCCGGTTAGGAAAATTGGAGTACGAGCAATTAATCCACATGGGTGATCCTGAATTTGTTCCTGGTGAAATTGAAGATGAATGGGATCCAATTGCGTTGAACTACACGTCCGGAACTACCTCAGAACCGAAGGGTGTGGTGTACAGCCACAGAGGCGCCTATCTTAGCACCCTTAGCCTGATCCTTGGCTGGGAAATGGGCACTGAGCCTGTTTACCTTTGGTCCCTGCCTATGTTCCACTGCAATGGCTGGACTTTCACTTGGGGGACTGCTGCACGAGGCGGTACCAATATTTGTCTACGCAACACCACAGCCTACGATATGTACCGAAACATTTCCCTCCACAAGGTCACACACATGTGTTGCGCTCCTATTGTTTTCAACATCCTCCTCGAGGCCAAACCCCACGAACGTCGTCCAATTTCCTCCCCTGTCCAGGTGTTCACCGGAGGTGCACCGCCTCCATCCTCCCTGTTGCAGAAAATCGAGGCACTCGGATTCAAAGTCACCCATGGTTATGGACTCACCGAGGCCACTGGTCCAGCTCTGGTGTGCGAGTGGCAGGTAAAATACACACTGTCAACTTTTTTTACTGTGGTTAAAATTTAATCTTTATTTTTATGCCAAAAAAACACATCTCACTCAATAAAAATGGAAAAATTTTTGTTAACAGGTTAAGTGGAACAAGCTTACGCTGGATGATCAGGCGAAACTCAAGGCTCGACAAGGGATTAGCATACTAACCCTTGCGGACGTGGACGTGAAAAATATTGATACCATGAGAAGCGTGCCGCACGACGGCGTGACCATGGGGGAGATCGTGCTGCGGGGCAGCGGTATCATGAAAGGATACTTCAAGGATCAGCAGGCCACATCAAAGGCATTCAAGAACGGGTGGTTCTTTACCGGCGATGTTGGGGTGATTCATCCTGATGGGTACCTGGAAATCAAGGACAGATCAAAGGACGTGATCATCTCCGGCGGCGAAAACATCAGCAGCGTGGAGGTAGAGTCCGTTCTGTACAGGCATCCGAGGGTGTTGGAGGCGGCAGTGGTGGCAATGCCGCACCCACGGTGGGGAGAAAGCCCCTGTGCTTTCATCGCGGTAAAACCCAATCCAGAGGGTAAAAAAGATGACATTAAAGAAACAGATATAATTTCTTACTGCCGTAGAAATCTTCCCCATTTCATGGTACCCAAGAAGGTGGCGTTTGTAGAGCAGCTGCCAAAAACTTCCACCGGAAAAATTCAGAAGTTTCAGTTAAGGACAGAGGCGAAGACTTTCGTCATCTCTGACGAGAACATCCCTCAGAAGAAGTCTTCTCAAGTCAATGTGAAAATTCCTCAGGCACATGAGCAGATTCTTGCTCTCTCTCGTCTTTGAAGTTTTCGTGCAGTTGGTCTCTTTGGACAATAAAATGTGTACAGAGCCCCTTTTTTATTTTATCGATTTCTTGTTTATTTTCTATATTACAATCAGAGCCCTGCAGGCTTTCTGTATGTCAGAATTGAGTAATTGAAATTATACGATAATGAAAAAGAAAAATAATCATATTATTGAGTCAATTATTCATTATTGTTAGTTTGATTCAGGTTTTTTTTATTTATTTTTTTCTGAACATCAACAAATTGTTAGCTTGATTCAGCTTGGATATGATATTTTATTATTATTTCATTTTGGAGACAGTAATACTTCTATTATTTGTATTTGATGATTTTTTTTTTTTTGAAAAGCATTTGTATTTGATGATTTACACAATGTTCTATGTATTTGTTATAAAGAAATCTCACAATATTAACAATTAACTGCAATATTCAACACTTTCTTATCCTAATATGAGGCCTGAATTAAAATGCATCCATTGATTCATTTGGTATCTAACATCGTGTGTGAATCAACTGTTTTTTTTTTTTAATTGAAAGTACCAGAGCCAAATAATTTTTTCTTAATATGCATTTGGGTTTCTTCAAAAATAAATAACTGAAGAAAAAACAGACTTCAGATTTTTACAAAAATCGAGATTTTTATAAAGAGAAAAATGTTTTTAGATTGACCTAAAAAAATATAAGAATAAGAATAAAATTGTTAAAATTTTTTTAATGAATCATTCAAACATATTCATTATTGATATTTAAACTTTTTCATAGACACCAAGCACTTCAAACCAAGTGACAATAGCCACTCATAATGCATTCTTCCCTCCCAGCGCTGGGTTCGAACCCAGCTCCTTGTAAAAATCTATTCAAAAAAAAAACTTTTTCATAGAAATTCTGACGCTTTGAATGCAAATTAACAATATACTTTTTGTTGATTGAGGGGCCCCAATGTACTTTGACTGCAAAGTAGGAAGACTCCAATAAAACGTTTCCTTATTACTGCCAACATATGCATGATGATGGTTTACATAAATTTTTTTTAGAACATGTGCAATTTGGGGAGGGGAATTTTTTTTTTTAAGGTGTTTGTAGATTTAAAATTTTAATCAACTAACTCAATCTTTTTAAGATTTGACAACTAACTCAATTATTTTAAGATTTGACAGCGAATTACTTGGATACAAAGGTATGGTAACATTTTTTCACATAAATAATTGACATTTGAATTTTCTTTTTCTTTTTTTTTTTGTTAATAAGGTTTTAGTCAATTAATTTGTATTAAGATTTTTTAATTTATATCTTAAGGATATAAATTAAAGATATAATTATTATATTTTTTATTAATTATTACTAAAAAAATAAAAAATAATTTTTATTTAAATAATTATTTAATTAAAATAATTCACATAATATTAATAAGGAAATCAATAATAACTTTTATATTTTTTAATGATAATTAATATAAAAAATATAATAATTATATTTTTAATTTATATTTTTAAGACAAATTAAATAAACCTTTTGGGCGATTAAATAAGAAAAACAAAATACAGCTACATGTGTGGTTATCAACGTAATGGCATGGGTACTGGTACCTATTGCCTAGCCAAACCAGATTTTTGGTTTTTCAACTAACTACTTGAGTTTGCTAGGTAAGACTTCTTAAATTTCAAAGCTATAATTGATTACGTCTCTGTCATAAACTTGAACTCACATGAATTGATATGCATGTAATAATTTGCTTGGTTAGGATTTTATTATAAAAAAAAATATTGTATGCCAATCGACTTGATGTTTGTTGTTGAAATTAATTGAAATAAGAGCCAAATAAATTTTTCTTAAAATACATTCGTGTTTCTTTAAAAAGAAAAACAAACTTCAGTTTTTTTCCTTTTTTTTTTTTAGAAATGGTGGTTGAAAGTTTAAAATTATTCTAAAATAAAGATTTTACAACAAAAAAAAGGGATAAAAATCAGGACTTCTTAAGATTTAAAGTATTAAAAATATTTTTTATTTATTAATTTATTGATGGTTTTTAAATTTTTTCCATTATATCGTCTCTAACATTTTTATGTGTTGGAAGAACTATTTTGCTCAATCCATTTTACGAATTAGAAGTATGCTTTTTGTTGAGTGGAGGGACCCCAATGTACTTTGAGTGCAAATTAGGAGGACTCCAACAAACGTTTCCTTTTCTTTAGTACTCTGTCAAATAAACGTACGTTTCTTTTTTTTTTTTTTTACTAAGAAACGTTTCCTAATCAATGCTCCTATATGCATGGTTTGTCAACCAAGAGGCATGTGTGGGAAAAAGAACTTCTACTATAACAACTCTAACTCTAGGTACTAACTGCCTAGCCAGACCAGATTTTGAGGTTTTTTAACTATAATAACTACTTGAGTTAGATGTACCAAAAAAAAACTACTTGAGTTATCTAGATAAGATTTCTTAAATTTTAAAGCTATTCATCTTCAAATTTAAGGTCCCGAGATGAGCATTTGGGTAGCCAAAAATCATAGTGTACAAGGCCCAATGTTTTTATATAAAAATGTTGTTTTGAGTACTGTCAGCTATTACTCCATCGGTTTAAAATATACTATGTTGTTTAAACTTTTCTTATGCAGTTTTAGATACAATAAAATTTTTACATATTTTGTATAAACGATAATTGAAATTTTGTCAATTAAATAAAACTATGTATTTAACAAGAATTGCGTATTAAAAAACCTCAATTATTATCTAATACTATAAAAAATTATTTAAAAATACTTTAAAAAATCAAATAATTTATAAAAAAAAGTGTCGATTTCGTTGCTTTTAAAAATTAAAAAAATATTTTAAATTTATATTTTTTAATAAATTTTTAATAAAAAAAATAAAATACCTTATATTTAAAACATAAATTACATTGTTTTTAACTTTTTAATTTAATATTTTATTAAAATAACATAATTTTAAATTAATTTTTTTTAAAAAAAAATTTTAAAAATAAAATAAATAAACACTAATCTCATAACTTATACTTTAAAATAGAGGATTACAAAATATGTTTAATGTGTAAACATATCGTATGTAGCTACTTTAAAAAATTTAATGGAAGTATGAAACAGACAGGACTCAGGAGACAGGAGGAACCTTTACTATTACTATTATCATTATTAAACACATGGGGGTGTTGCTGAAAGGGGATGGCTGATTTTTTTTTTCTTTGTTTGGTTTGGGAACAGTGTTGGAAAAGAAATGAGTTTTTGTATTTTTCTGCCGATATTTTGGTATATATGGTATTAGAGAAACAATATTTAAAAATAGGAGAAATTTTGGGGAATAGGTGTAAGTGTTGTATAGGTTAAATCATTTGCATGAATTAAGCTTTCAAGAGTGTGATTGTTAAGACCATATGAGTGTGCAGTAGAAATAAAAAGGTATAAAAGTAGTCTGCAACAATTTCATAAACAGTAGAAATTGCATGGATGATTTGGTTAATGGACAATGGTATGGATTTGAATTATTAGTAGTTTTTTTTTATATATTAATTATATAATAAAAAACAATAATCTTTTATCCCATTCGTATGTTATGCGATTTAAACTCAATATTTTTTATTTTTAATGAAAAAAGAGACTACTAAGTTATTTATCGTTGATGATTTGCATTATTAGTATTGATGTAACTTGTACAATTTATTTAAAATGAACAAGAGTATTTTTTATACTTTAATTATAATAAAAAAAATTTATTTTGTTGATAAAAAATTCATAATTAAAGAACAAAATATTCGTTCTTGGCATTATCCTAGCCCGTATCTTATCTGTATGAACCACATTGACACCGATGTAAAGAAGATATATAAATTAGATTTGATATGTAGTTGATTCTCTTTATTCCTTTATTTCCTTGGGGTGCCTGATTGTTTATTTTTATTTTTTAAAATTTTTTTAGCATTAATATATTGAATATATGTATTTTTATTTTTTGGTATGTTTGATAATATGTTATTATCGTACACAATAATCTTAAATAGATGATTCAATGATTAAGAGTTTAATATTTTAAATTAAAACTCTCAAATTCAAATTTTAAGTAAGGTGAATAGAAATTTAGAGAGATGGGCATGAATTTAGAAAAAAAAATGTTATTCTCTTTTGTATAACAATTATTATTAAATATACCAAAAAATTATTGGACATAACAACTAATATTTTTCTTTTTTAAATCTCTGTTTTAAAATATGAACTTGATGAGATTATCAATATAAAAACTCAAACTATGAACTGTTAAAATATCTTTCTAGAGATAAAGTTACATTTTCAGTAATTCACAATATGTTATAAAATAAGTTGCAGTTATCCTTGGTGAGGCAAAAATGAAAAATAAAAAATAAAAAACTTAGAACCAAAAAAGATGGCTGAAGGCAAAAAATTATCATATAAAAGCGAAAAACAAGTGTATACATTATGGTTTGGTTGCAATAGTTAGGGAATGCGAGCTCTCCAATTAGGCTCACAAAAAGCCTTTTTGCCGAATTCTGAATTCCATCAACGGTATGTACCGAATTGTGCCCACACCGCTATAGGAAGGGGAAAAACACAGACATTTGATTTGGTGGGAATTAATGAAAAATAGTTAGTGTATATTCGAATCAAATATATAT